TGGGGACTGGGTACTTTTTCTGATTCTGTTCTTTTTTACCTCTCTTGATTTTCAGCTTCTTCCCCCCTCCTCCCAACCCCCTTCTTTTTTTTTCTCTTCTCTTCTCTTCTCCTCTCCATCCTTTTCTTTGCTTCTCACTTATATCTCATCTTTCATAACTGCTGTATTCTGCTTACTCTTAAGATGAGTACGACTGCTTAAGATGTCTAGGCTAGATGATTTCACGTCTTGCGATTCTGTATGTAGATCCAACAAGGTTAGCTCCAGGAGAATTGCTGCATTTTCTACTGTTGATACCTCTGTTATAGCAGTGTCATTCATTTGGATGCTAACCATTTCTTAACTTCTAAATGTGCTTACTCCTGTACTTCTTGTATTTTCTGTAAAATGCAAACATTTTGCTTTCTCTGTATGTTGATATTGGCATTAATAAACATTTTCATGGAAAAAATGTACCTATAAATACCATGGCATGAACTTTTGAAATAAATTGCATTCAAATGCTCAGAGTGAATCTGTGGCACATTCCTGTAAATTTCTTAAGGGCCAGCATAACTCTCATAAGTATATTGAGCATTTGCCTTGCTAGTAATTGGGCTGTTTACACTACCATGCACGTTTATGAATATTTATATCTGCCTAGGAGATGCCAGATGCATGCATATGTGAGAAGGTGACTACAGTTGTACTCTGTGTGCTAATTTGTAACACACTGTCGGTATAACACAGGGCCACCTACACTCACCAGCCACTTTATTAGGTATACCTTGCTAGTGCCAAGACAATATCCCCCACACCATTACACCAGCACCAGCCTAAGCCGTTTATACAAGGCAGGATGGATAAATGCTTTCATGTTGTTTATGCTAAATCCTGACCCTACATTTGAATCGCAACAACTAGTCTGTCCATTCTCCTCTGACCTCTGACATCAACAAGGTATTTTCATCCAAACAACTGCCGCTCACTGGATATTTTCTCTTTTTTGGACCATTCTCTGTAAACCCTAGAGATGGTTGTGCATTAAAATCCCAGTAGATCAGCAGTTTTTGAAATACTCAGACCAGCCCGTCTGGCAACAACAGCCATGACACGTTCAAAGCCCCTTAAATCCCCTTTCTTCCCCATTCTGATGGTTTGAAGTTCAGAAAGTCGTCTTCACCACATCTACATGCCTACATGCATTGAGTTGCTGCCATGTGATTGGCTGATTAGCAATTTGTATTACCAAGCAGTTGAACAGGTGTACACAATAAAGTGGCCAGTGAGTATATTTTGCCTGTTTAGACACTTCTCCTTGACAGCAAGAAGCACAGGAATTCATTTGTAAGTCAGAGGATTGTTCTGACTCTTCTACTTTATAAACTGATCACTGTTAACCAGAAGGAGTCAATAATTATTAACATATGAAACTTTAGAACAAGAGCTGTATTATGCTGTAGAGCGATATAGACAAATAGGGAACCTTCAAGAAAAAAAAAATAGGATATAATAAAGCAATTCAGCTACCACCCAAAACACTATTTTCCAATGCATTTCATTTACTAAACCTTACAACACACATTGCAGTCTGATTGTACCACCTCTGTGCAATCTCCTTTAGGTTTACCAACAACTACATAGTACAAGGGTCATTTAATAAATCCAAATATTCTGTAGCCAATCAAGCAGGAAATACATAGTTTTTAAATGAGTTTTTTTTTAGATAAATAAGATATAGGATGAAATAATGTTGTGTCACCTGTGAAAGTGAACGCTAGTCCAGTAATTCATGCAATCATACTTATTTGGAGGCTCCCTCTATTTTGTTTGTACAATAATGTGTTCTATTAAATTAACATTCATACGTGAAAACACACCCACATCAATGGTTTTTAATAATTAATCACCTTCAGTTCAGGCCAATTCTGACATTTCTTTCATACATGTAAAAATCTGTAATTGTTTTGCGAGAAAATTACTTCGAACCCCCAAACATTATATATTTTTTAAGCAGAGACCCTGGAGAATAAAATGGTTGTTGAAATATTTAATGTCATATGATATTTGCACAGCGGTTTATCAACATTTTTGGAAAAAATACATTTGGCAAATTTTTGAACACAGTATATTACCCAATTTTTGAGTGAAATATAAGAGATGATGTTATGATGAGTAAATAGATACCCAACATGTCATTCTTTAAAATTGTGTAATGCCAACAAACTACAGCACATGCAATTACCCATAGGCAACATTTTAAAAAAGTCTTTACAGCTTACCAGTTTAGAGTTATACAGGAGTTCTGGTGCTAGCATTATTGCTCTCACTCTGGCGTTCGTAGTGATACCTTACATGTGTGGTGCAATCACCGTTTACATGTGAGTGCGGGACATCTGGGTGCATTCACATTTACGAATAAGCATGGGGGATGGAGACACGTTAAAATTTTTCTTTATTTTATTTAAATTTATTCTTTTACCCTGTACCATTTTTTTTTATTGAACAACATCTCTTGTAATAGCATAGGCCATCACAAGTCCACTTTATGGGGTGCATATCTCTCTTCTGCCCTCAATCTACACAAGATTGGTTTGATCAGATGCATTACAAGCGCCTTGTAAATAAACAAATTGAAGCCAGAAGTGACGAAACCTCCTTGATTCCCATTTCTGACATCATAGAGGGGGAGGGACAATGGAAGTGGTTTATAGTTACATTATCTGTTTCAGTGCAGTTTAAACGGGGAAGACTTAGCACTAAAATATACAGTATGTATAATGGATTTACTTGAAAAAAAAAAACAACATAGACAGGCAAAGGCCCATATCAGACATAAAACATTTTATATTTTTTTTTTAAACCTCAGTAAAAATGGTAGGATATCTGAACAGATGTAAAATCTACTGTATATATAACTGAAACAGTCGCTTATTGATACCCAGAGGATATAGTCTTTTTTTAAGGTTTATTCTTTGCTTCTGTACAATAAAAGCTGTGAAAATATTGAATAGACTTCATCGTGTGCTAATTCTAGCCAACGCAGTAGATTTTTAAAAAAATCTGGATGTGTTTCTAAATGCACAGATATAATTGGATGTTAATATTTAAGTAATGACTCCACAGACTGTTGATCCACCCAATATTTGATTGCCTTAGGGGAAGAAAGAAATTTGTCATCTTTGGATCAAATTGGACTATGCTTACTGAATTTGTATGCATTCTTCTGGATCAACTATGGGTTTAGGGTTCTGTAGATACAGTTTTTATTTACTTATTTATGTATTTATTTATTTTTCAATTGGTTGAACTTAATGGGCTTATTGTGTCTTTCTTCAAACTAGTTATCTATGTAACTACAATAATTTTATTGAGTAGCAAGGTAAGCAAATATTAGAATTCTATATCTTTCATTATCCATGTAAATCGAAGCCACTTGGTTAATTTGGTTTCTCTGTTCTGTGCCTCAACTTTAAGAACAACCTCGGCCCATCTGACACACCTGGTTGACTAAAAATCACTGCAAGAATAGATAAATACACAACTGTAAAAAAAAACACAACTCCTCAGCCTGTGCACTTGTCAGTGTGACAGGCTCAGTGGAGCAAAGCTGAGCCACTGATACTGACCTGCACTGGGGGCAGATGGTTCACTATGGACACTCCAGCCTCAGTGCCAGAACCTACCATGCCTCGTGAAAAAAATAAATGTATCTACTTCCAACAGGTACTTAAACTTGTCGCAGTGGTTAATAGCCTTGGGTGTTTGGCAGAATTCAATAGAAAAAGCTCTGAACAGAGACCCACCCTCTCCTCCTCTAGTGAAAATGGTCCTAATTGTTTTTAATGAATGCAACATGATCTCTGAAAGTGAGAGAGTTGGATGAATGACAGAATCCCCCCCAATCCATAGACTGCTACATGTTGTGAAAGAAATGAAAGAGCTTCCCAATTCTGGAGGATGGAGGAGGGGACAGGTCCCTATCATGAGCTTTGTCCATTGAAATCAGACCACAGACCAAAAGTTATTATCTCTTGCAATGCTGGAAGCTCAAAGCCAGGAAGATGACCTGCATCCCTGCAGTGAAGATTTCATATTTTATAGGTAAGTTAGGTAACTAAAGCTGCAGGGCTAAAAAAAAATAAATTTGCAAATAATATTAGCTAAACTTCAGCGTTAAATGCTTAGAGCAGTTGTAAACCACATCCAAAAAAAAGAAAAAAAAAGAAAAACCCTGCAAGGTAAAGGCGTATTGTGCTTGTATGCATTGCATACTAGCACATTATGAAGGACCTACCTTAAAATGAAGCCTTCCAGTGGAGTGTTGTCACGGGTTCCCGGGGCTTCCATCTTCACCTGGTTTTGCTTCTGGGTTTGTGAGCTCTGGCCAGCTGAACTGGCTGTGATGATGTCACTCCTGCACATGCGTGTGGGAGTTACGGGCCAGGACACAGTGCTCTGAAAGCATGGCATGGGCCAATTTTCAGTTTTCAGCACTATCACACTTTGAGTGACAATTACTCAGTCATGCAACTCTTTACCCATATGAAATTTGTATCCTTTTTTTGGGACAGATAGAGCTCTCTTTAGGTGGTTTTGATCACCAATGGGTTTTCTATTTTTTGCTATATAAATAAAAATTACCAAAAATTAAAAAAACATATATATTTGTTACTTAGTTTTTTTATAAAATTTTGCGAATAGATAATTATTCTTCATAAATTTAGGCCAAAATGTATTCTGCTACATTTTTGGGGGTAAAAATAACCCAAAACAGTTTATATTATTTAGTTTGCGTGAAAGCTATAGAGTCTACAAACTATAGGATATGTATTTGAAAATTGATCAGTTGAGCTCCTAAAATGCTAGACACCGGTATGGCATATGACAGTGATCAGGATGCTGGTATGGCATTGATCAGAACATTAGCATTAGGTATGGCGGTGATCAGGATGCTGATATGGCAGTAGCCAGGATGCTGGTATGACATATGGGGTGGTCAGGATACTGGTATGAGGCATGGCGGTGATCAGGATGCTGGTATGGGGTATGGCGGTGATCAGGGCGCTGGTATGGGGTATGGCAGTGATCAGGGTGCTAGTATGGTGTACGGCAGTGATGATGGTGCTAGTATGATGGTGATCAAGGTGCTGGTATGGTGTATGGAGGTGACCAGGGTGCTAATATGGCATATGTCAGTGATCAGGGTGTTGGTTTGGGGTATGGCAGTGATAAGGACACTGGTATGGTGGCGATTAGGACATTGCTAAGGTGTATTGGAGTGTTTTTCCACACTGGGACAGGTGACAGGGCCTCCCTGCATTATTTATTATTGTGGGGCAGTGATCAGGGACACTGGGGCACTAAACTGGGGCACTGGGATGGCTGGCATGCAGTGTGTGAGTGTACAAGCAACTGACAGGCTGCTGTACACTCACACACTGCAGGATCACTTCTCTCTACTTGCACACTGAGAGCAGAGAGAAGCGATCTTTACTTTCAGTTTTCAGTGTTTACTATGTGAGTACTGTGATTGGTCACAGCAGTTACATGGTAAAACACCACGTGATCACCTGAACACAACAGTAATGTGATCCGCTGTGTCCGGTTGATACACTGATCACCAGGCACCAGGGTGTGTGCTCTGTGAGCTGCTCATGAGCCATCGATGCGGGCTGACGTACAGGAACATTAGCCCGCATCAGCGCTACTTCCCGTCCGCCATCTATGTACAATGGGTAGGCGGGAACTGGTTAATTTTACCTACAGGCTAGCTTTATTATAACCTTACCTATAGGTAGACTTATTAAAGAAGAGTTTACTACCACTAAGGAGATGCATGTGACAATGTTAAATAAAAACTAGGATAATTTCTTGTTTTGACTAGTTGGCGTATGAAAGCCACAAAAAAAGAAAAGGAGAAAATGTAACATTGTACTGTCTTTTAAAGTTGTAGTGAAGTCTTTTAAAAACAAACAAAAAAATGTCCCCCTACAAATTAATGGCATAATGTGCTAGTGTGCATCACATACTAGCACATTATGGAAGACTTACCTGTGAAATTATCCCTCCAGGGGTGCACTGTCACCACTGACAGAGCTTCCATCTTCACTCAGTCTTCCTTTGCTGGCTCCAGCCGTTTTTAATGGCCGAGGCACAATGACATCACTCCTTCTCAAGCACACGGGAGAAACAGCCGTGGCACAGTGCTTTGAATGAATGGCATACTTGAGAAGTCCATCCATTCAGATCGCAGCGCGCATGCGCTGGAGAAGTTAACAGCTGCTACAGATGTGAAGATCTCCTAAATGGTGCATGTTTAGGAGATTTTCACTGTACCTACAGGTAAGCCTTATGATAGGTCTGCTATATACTATGGGTACAATTGAAAAAGCTGACTTTACTACCGTTTTAACTCTTGAGAAATGTGTGATCCACTGCTCTTGCAAGCTATAATGTAACTTTTGTACACTGGGGTTGACACCTCTGGCTGTGTCAAGAATGCAGGTCCCTGTGAGTCCCCATTTGGCTACCTGAAGCTCCATTAGCAAGTCACTTAGTTCTCTGAGTTTCTAATAGTAGTTAGGTATTTTGGGAAAGCTATCAAGTATTTTTAAAAGTGTATTTTCTTTTGCTTCTGTTGAACCCCAACACTAATGAAATGTGTCTTAGATCATTTTAACGGCAGTTTCTTGGTAATTTATATTTATCACCCTGATTTGTATGGTGTGCTCAGCAGACTAGTTTCTAAGCCATTTGATCAGGAGGTCTATCTTTTTAATGCACAACAAATACATGCCTCTGATTGCATTTTAGAGGGGAGACTGCCAGGCTCTGTAGCTTTCAGGATCAAAGACCCTTTCATGTCCTTTTTTTAAATCCTTTAGTGACTAACTTGTGTAGTGCTAACAACTTGCCAAAGTTTATTGTGGCTTGATTAGCTGGCTGTGTATTGCTATGTAAAAAAGTGGTGTGTAATCATACATTTTTAAAGACTCTAGTTTCAGTCAGCTTGTATTATATCACTGTGACATGAAAGCTGATCCTGTAGGATAATTTGTAGACTGGGTACCTAGTTGTGATGTGCTTGCTATATATGCGAGGCGTGTTTAAGTCAAACTGGAACAAATTTCATGAAGTGGAAACTGCATTTTTTTTTTACATACTCCCCTCCTACATTTATACACGTATCCCAGCATTTAACTAATGCCTGGAAAGCTTTGGCATTGAAAGATTTGTCAGTACACCTGAACCATCCTAGAACAGCCTGCTTCACTTCGTCATTATTGTGTTCACCATTTCCACAGAAAGATTTGTCTCTTGTGCAATTTCACGGCAGGTTATGCGTCGATTATCCAGGATCAGGTGTTCCATGCGTTGAATGTTGAATGATTGCTGTAGGCTGAGAACCACCACGGCCAGGATCTTATGGCCATCAATGAAACATTTACACACCATTCAAATGTCTTACTGAGTATCTCATCACCATACTGTGCTTGATGTCTTCTGTAGATATCTGTGGGTTTTACACCTTAGTTTACAAGAAACTTCATCACCACACACTATGCCATGCATGCACTAACACTGTTGTCTGCCATCTTGATTAACGGTCTCTGGGGCGTATAGTATCGCCAATGCTAACATCCCTTTTCATACTATAAAATTAAATGTTCTGGCTTGACTTGAATATATTCTCTTTCTTTCTCTCTCTCTCTCTCTCTCTCTCTCTATATATATATATATATATATATATATACACACACACACATATATATATACATACATACAACACATATATATATATTTTTCTCAGACTTACATACTGTTGAAGAATTTGTTTGTTTGATAAACGAAAAAATCGGTAAGCCCTGTTGCCGATGTTGCCACCACTGTCCACGAAAAATGGCCGTTTTTTGTGGATTTTCCAGCATGACCAATAAAAATAAATGTGAAGATCCAGGAAAAACGGCCGATGGGCTGGCCTCACTAAAGGCGTGAATATCGGCCAATTTTTTGTGCATTATAGTGGATACTTCTCAAACAAATGCTGTTAAAGCCATTTATACAAGGTGTCCTCTAAAGCAATGAGAACATTGATACCATTGTTGTATGCTGGGCTTTTCTACTGTTTTACATTAATTATGTAACTGAAATCAACAAGTCAGTTAACCATAGTCAAACAATAGCTTGACCTTCTGTCCTATGGCATGTATGATACAGCAGTGCTATCTATAGGTTAAATTGGGAAATGTTTCTCCCATGGAAGACTATGGTAAAGGAAGTTTTAGGAAAGGGGCCACACCCATGTAATAATAGTAATAGTAATAGTTTCAAAATAAAAGATCGGGAGGTTAAGCTGACAGGGGGACTCCATGATGAGCAGAACACCAAGGAGGGTCCACTTGTAGAGTAAGCCTGAGGTCCTGTTTCCCTGGGGATGATGACATTGTATGACAGGGCACAGAGTGGCACAGGTGCCTGTAGTAGATCAGTTTGGAATATCTTAGAAGCAGAAGTGGAGTTGGAGCAGGCCAACTGGCAGTAGGAAGATACTGGATCTTGGATGTGTGGTCAGATGAGAAGAGGTCAGCAACAGCCGGGCAGCAGGAGTGTAAAATTAGATACCAGAAGCAGAGTCAGAGCTAGGCCAAGGTCAGCATCAAGCCAGAAGAATATGTACCAGGACACCAGTCAGGAAGCTAGGTTGCGTCAGAAGCCAGTGTCAGCAACAGAGGTTCAGGAACAAGCAGGATGTACAAGCTGGCTCAGGATACAGATGAGCACAGGATCAGGTCACAAGCAGAAGGAGCTGGCGACCACTCAGCAATGAACCTTATTCTTGTAAGGCTTTAAAGAGGCCACTAGATACCAAAGTCCATTAAACAAGTATCCTCACACACATGAGCACTTGCACAATGCTAATGTTCACACGCACCCGTAAAGATGACTTCAGGGTCCTAATGCTGTGCACAGTTCGATGAACAGTTCTTCGTGCATGCACATTCCTTTGGGGACAGACATTTCTTTGAGCATGGCCTTAAACATGACTTTCCTGATAGTATACAGTTGCAAGAAAAAGTATGTGAACCCCTTGGGATTACGTGGAGTTTTGCATGAATTGGGCATAAAATGTGCTCTGAACGTCATCTAAGTCACAACAATAGAAGAACACAGTCTGCTGAACATAATACTACACAAACATTAGATGTTGCCATGGTTTAATTGCACATAACATGTAAATATTCACAGTGCAGGGAGGAAAAAGTATGTGAACCTTTGGACTTAATAACTGGTTGACCCTTCTTTGGCAGCAATAACCTCAACCAAACATTTCCTGTAGTTGCAGATCAGGCCTGCACAACAATCTGGAGTAATTTTGGACCACTCCTCTTCACAAAACTGTTTCAGTGTAGCAATATTCTTGGCATGTCTGGTGTGAATCGCTCTCTTAAGGTCATGCCACAGCATTTCAATCGGGTTGAGGTCAGGACTCTGACTGGGCCACTCCGGAAGGCGTATTCTGTGCTGTTGCAGCCATTGTTTTGTTGAATTACTTGTATGCTTTGGGTCATTGTCCTGTTGCATCACCCATCCTCTGCGGAGCTTCAGTTGGCGGACAGATGGTCGTACGTTTTCCTGCAAAATGTCTTGATAAACTCTGGAATTCATTTTCCCATCAATGACAACAATCCGTCCAGGCCCTGAGGCAGCAAAGCAGCCCCAAACCATGATGCTCCCTCCGCCATGTTTTACAGTGGGGATGAGGTTTTGATGTTGGTGTGCTGTGCCTTTTTTTCTCTACACATAGTGTTGTGTTCTTCCCAAACAACTCAATCTTGGTTTCAACTGTCCACAGTATATTTTGCCAGTAGTGCTGTGGAACATCCAGGTGCTCTTTTGCAAACTTCAAACGTGCTGCAATATTCTTTTTGGACAGCAATGGCTTCCTCCGTGGTGTCCTCCATGTACTCCATTCTTGTTTAATGTTTTCCTTTTTGTAGATATGTCAACAAAAATGTTAGCATTTGCCAGAGATTTCTGTAGGTCTTTAGCTGACACTCTGGGATTCTTCTTTACCTCATGCAGCATTCTGCGCTGTGCTCTTGCAGTCATTTTTACAGGACGACCATGCCTAGGGAGAGTAGCAACAGTGCTAAACTTTCTCCATTTGTAGACAGTCTGTCTTACCGTGGAAACATGAACATCAAGGATTTTGGAGATACTTTTGTAACCCTTTCCAGCTTCATGCAAGTCAACAATTCTTGATCGTAGGTCTTCTGAGAGCTCTTTTCGAGGCATGGTTCACATCAGACAGTGCTTCTTGAAACCAGTAAACCCAAAACAGGTGTGTGTTTTTTAAGGGCAGGGCAGCTGTCAGCAACACATCCAATA